AGCAATTAAAGTTTTAAAGTTATTTAACTGGGTAATATAAAAAAATTAGAATTTAAATCTCTGTCCACTGATAGTACTTGCTTGAAGTCATATAAACAAAAGAACTGTTGTAAAAAGACCTCATATTGAGTACAAAGACATTTTGTCTTTCTTCTATCTACATTAAAGTAATCTGCAATATAACCTAAATATCACCTTCTACTCCCTCCAAACCTATACTAATAAGCAGTTTAGTGCTCCACAGCCCAATTGTAAAACACAAATGTCAACAAAATTGTATGAGTAAACCAAGAATTAAAATAACAACACTTTGACAAGTACTTGAAAATTTTCATGAAAAGCATTATTTCTGAGGTTCTCCACAGCTAAAGGATGAGATACAAAATTTAATAAAATACATTACAAGCAATTTATGCCACAAAGTTTCTAATTTTCTCACTATTTATTACCAACTCACAAGCTTCTAGCAATCTTGGCTTGATCACAATAATGACAGCAGAACATATTTCAGATAAGGGAAAAATGGATCATTTAAAAATCAGCACAGAGATTTAAACAAAATCCAAGAGTGAGGTGGTTAAAACTACTTAAATGCCCAGATTCACACCATTAGGCAAAAATTTGCACCTTGTACTAAATTGAGAAAGGGAGAGGAAGGGGAGCAAGTCTTTCTGTTACAATATAAAACATAAATAAAAAAAAAAGAAGTGATCTAGCTGCTAAATCCGAAAAAGTGGTGCTACTTAAAGCATGATCTATATTTCAGTGTTTACTACCAGTCCACAAGAGATTATTATTTTATTAATATATTAGTTGTTTTATATGCATATTTTCAATAATATTGGTTGGCAATGGATTGAAAATTTTTAATAGTTAGTCCTTTATACTAGGGCTTTTCCTAAGAAGCACTGATATATGGTATTTTTAACTTCCCTTAATTCTTGGATAAAAATAGTTCATTTAATTTTTATTATATTATACTTCATTTATAGGACAAATACTTTAAAATGAACCATAGATATGTATATATACACATTGCTGTGTTAAAATATTTACACAGATTCATGAATATGGGGGAAAATTTTTATTACAAAAGAGGTGATTTTTATTAAACAACAGTAAATTTAAATGACTAGCTTTTTGTTTTGTGGTATTGAAAAAACCATGTTTTTCTTCCAATGACTTCACAACAATCTGCTTCAATTACCTTAATTTTATTTTGGTTATTTCTCACACTATCTCTCTTAGGATATGACTTAGTCATATATCAGTTGACAAAGTGGCATTTAAGTGATTCATCTGCCAGCCTATACATGCCATTATATCTGTATCATGCCATCACATTCTGGCCCAGCCATGAAATGAGCTTCGGCCCACTAGTCTAAGAGCACAAATACAGACTGAGTAAAAACTCAGGCTCTGGAAAAATGAAGACCTTTGTTAATATGAAAACACAGCAGTACAGATTATTAACCTTCAAGGTACTCTGATTCATTATCACCTGATGTATTTTCTCATAAATAAATTATAACATTT